GTTATTTGAACCTCATGTAAAGTGACATACCTGTGTGTGTGTGTGTGTGTGTGTATATATATATATATATATATATTGGTATGTCACTCTACATGAGGTTCAAATAACATGACAGTCAAGGTGCCTTCAATTCAAGCCTCACTAAATCTGTTATATATATTATATATACAGATTTAGTGAGGCTTGAATTGAGGGTATTGTATGGAGGGCATTGGCATACAGAAATTCATTTCAGGTCTTTGTATATATGTACGTGTGTGGGGTCTTATCTCCTACATTTTTGTCAAGCTTAATTACTAATAATAACTAATGAGTCACAAGGGCCGACGTGCCTCATATGTGACAGTATACAATAACGGACCGCTACATATTATGGAAATGTTAGATCCTGCCATTTGGGGGAAGAGGGTCCCCACAGACCTTCAGTTCACAAGGATAGTATAGCTTTAAACAAAGCAGAGATCACTGAATGGGAGTAGTGTACCATGGTACCATGTATATTTGCAGGGAACATTTATTTATTTGCAGGGAACATTTATTATATCATTTTCCAAAGGAAAGTGATTTATTTACTTTTTTCCTTGTAGATAATTTCAAGTCAAATAATAGAGGAGGGCGATAGTAAGATTCAGTCTTGTCACTAAACACTACTAATCTGGAAGAGGAGAGAGACCAATGGGGGAAGAAAGGCTGATAATATCTATAGACAATCAGATATCCATTTACAATAGTCGTATTAGTTGAGTTAATTTCTAAATAGTTGCTATGTACTATTGCATTTTGTGTATTATTACTGCTCTTTGCCATACTGGTTTTTTTTTTTGCACTTAGTACTTTCCATCAGAGATTTTAGTATGAATAGATATATTTTTATCCTTCTAGTTGGTGAACCAGATGCCCGAACCTGGCTGGAACAGCATGTCGTTCATCAGTACTGGACCTCAAGAGCAAGTAGATTTTCACACAGCTTACACTTGCATTCTAATCTGGCAGCTGTCTGGTAAGATTTTTTTTTTTTTATGCCTATTTCCCAACATTTCATAGTGTAATTGTAAAAGCTGACTATGGCACACACATGTGAAGTAGACTTGTACTCTAATATTACCATAAAACTATGTTAACACTCTTGCTTGGATGGATAAATAACCATTATTAGAAGGGCTAACATTCCTATCTTTCTGGCTAGATAATGCTTCTCTAGGATCTTTTTGGTCCACAACAGATTTCTGAAGGCCTAGGTGCTTGGCCATTTGATCTCTAGGAAGACGAGTTCAGATTGGCTGATCTTTCCTTACCCAAGAGATCACGTGCCTAGGCCTTTAGACATTGACAGCACGAGAGTGAATGGAGCAGTATTTTCTTCTGGAAAGTAAGTTAATCTAATATGTTTTCATCATAGAGGTTGAAATGACTAAACAAATCAGTTTTCTAGTGCAAAGGCTTAATGAACTTGTAATTTGTTATTATAGGGATCAGCATTTATACACTTCAGATCCGCTATATACACATGAAGAAAAAACATTTGTTACTGAAACCCAAGTGATTCGTGAGGCTCTCTGGTAAGTTGAAAAAGGTGCTCCTTAGCAAAAAAAATAGGGAAAATATTTATTACATTTTTGTATTCGTCTTTTTTTTTTTCTTAGCAACATCACATTTTTTTAACGCTGCAATACAATGTTGAGCCATTCACAGCTTGTGGAGCATGCAAATAAATGCCTTATCACTGTTGCACACACATACTGTACATATCTAGGCAAGTTTATTTAGATACATTAGCTATTATCCGTATGCTTTCTACATAAAAAGACCTTCTAAATATGCAGGTAGTTTCATGTAAGTAAAATGACAAAGTTCTTATAGACATTAATTTGTTCAGCAAATCTTGCAAGGCTAGTTTTTGCTTTTCCTTCTAGGAGTAGACAATACTGTCTTCTAAAACGTCCACTATCCAAATAAAAAAATGAATACAATGTTTTTAACCTTTTTCTTTGGGTCACATTTACGAGTCCTATAATATGTTTTTTGTTTTTAGGTTACTTTCAGGTGTGAAAAAACTGTTCATCTTTCAGTTAAATGACGGGAAGGTCACTGTGAGGAATGACATCATTGTGACACATATGACGCATGTATGCTAACAATCCAAGTCATTTACTATATTGTTACATTCCAATTTTCAGCCACCAGATGCAAAATGCAGTTTTGGAACTTAGCTTTGGGTCCCCTATTTTCAGTCTTGGTGCTAAATATATATGTATTGTCAGCTGATTATATATTTGTCCTAGGTACCATTAACCCTTGCACTGCCACCGACGTAAGGCTATGGCGGAACACAATTGCTTCCAGCTGATCACGTCAGTAAGCCTTACGACGGTGGCTTTTACTGTTCTGCTATAAGCTCATGGTTGCTTTACCATGTTTCCCTGACTGTGCCCTGTAAAAAAAATAGCTGTTATCAGCGGTTTAAAAGCCGTTGATGAGAGCTATTAACAAAAAGTAATACATAAATTAATTTAAGAAAAACAACACAAAAAGAGGTGTCAATGTGCTATAAGCAAATTGAAGCTCTCTGTGTTCAGGATGGCTTCAATAATGTAATATACAATGTAATACATATATAAAGGTAGTTTAATCAATAGAAAGGACTTGGCTCCCTCATTTCCTCTGGGCCCAAGGCTTATGGCTTGGATACCTGTGGGTAATCCAGCCTTATTAAAAACCATTTACTGATGATTGTGATCTTATTTCCTAAAATACCTTTTGGTTTTCTGTAAGCAGGTCATCCAAAATATTTCTGTTGAGTTTGCTTTTCAGAGTTAATGTTAATCACCAAAACAAAGGTCCCCCAGAGTTTTCAGATTTTCCTCTGTCAGATTCCCCTACGGTTAGAAGCAAAATATATGTATTATTCTCTTCGATTCTGTGCAGTTTTGTTAGTTTCTATTGCTCACTCTTTACCATTTGTAAAGTGGTGTTTGAGATTCATTGTATACCCAAAAGTAGCAACCTGTGAGTTTTTGTGAGAAATATAAAGTGTGACACCTAAATGGTTGATGTGAGTGGCATCTCCATTTTATTTCTTCCATTGGTTTATACATTATCTCTATTAGCTCAGAAGCCTCTTAGAGGCTTTTCTTATGCAGGTTAAATGCACCTAAAAGAACGCTGCATTCGCTTGTTTTACGAGCGCTGACATATATGCAATTTTGTATTGTGATTTCACTTCAATGTATATTCTTTTGGTTGCAAATCCTTCTCACGATAGCCCACCGTAAAGTCTTGTAATCCCACAACACATTTTGGTGTTATGAGGTCTTGTATTTTTTAGGTATGCACCAAAATTGAGTTTTTAGACCGAAACCAAAAATTAAAAAGTTTTTTTTTTTTTTTTTTTACCAACCTTTTTGAATTATTTTAACTTTATTTTTAACTTATTTTTGTTTTATTTATTTTTTATTTTTTTTTTACTTGTCAGGGGTCTAAACAGACTCTTGATATTTCCGTTTTTAGACTAGAAAAACAGATTGAGGACACAGAGTCCTCAATCTTTTTCTGCAGCCTCTGTTATGAGTGAACAGGAAGCCTATATACTGAGTTAGTATGTTCACAATCATGAATGAACACGAAGTGATGTATTCCTGTTCACTCATAACTGGGGACACAGTAAGCATACTATGCTTTCAGTTATCTACAAACACTCAGCGATCAGTCATAATCACTGAGCGATTGTAAGCCGCTCTCAATCTTGCATCTCTGTGCTCTCCCATCCTGACTCACCTGTCACAAAAGGCTGAGCGGTGCGGCAGGAGAGCTCGGCCTCCTGTGACTGCTGACTCCTCTCCCTCACCACTTGGCATCCTGAGCTGTATCCTTCCTGCACCTCCCTGTGCCTTGGTCTTCTGAAAGTTTATCTGCGCACTGAACGTCTGTTTGTGTCCCCTCGGATCCCTGCTGCCTCTGCTGACACAGGTGGGGGAAAGAAACGGGCCCTCCTTACCATCTTGTCTTGAATTGTATTGTGATTGTAATGTCTTCCTTATATTGTATAGCGCTGTGCAAACTGTTGGTGCTATATAAATAATATGTAATAATAATCAGAGGGAACACAAACCAGCATCCAGTGGGGAGAAGGGAAGCCTAGAGATGCACTAACTTTTCGGCCGCCATGGTACTTTCGGCATTTTGTACCATGTTTTGATGGCTAAAAGTTTGGTGCATCCCTACTATTTTTACTCCAAATGTTTTATTGTAAAATATCTTAGGGTTACACCGTAAAATACATTAATTTTGTCCCCGCATTCTTGTTCCCAGAACTGTCTTAGGTCTGTTCTTGAGCAAATAGCAGCATATGGGCAAGTAGTATTTAGGCTGCAGAAGTTTATGGATGAGGTTACAGGTCACTGTTCTGAGAACCCATTGCCAGGAACTCTACCTACCACCAAAAAAGGTGCTGAGGCTCCATTCCGAACTTACCAAGCCTTCATGTGGGCACTGTACAAGTACTTCATGAGTTTTAAGGAAGAGCTAACAGAGATTGAGAAATGCATAATTAACAAAGGTAAGCTAGATGTTTGCTTTGATGCTCAACATTTTATAGTACATTTGCACACTAGTGTAACAAATCTCTCCTCTCTTTAGACAAAACTGTCACATTGGCAATGGTTGTTGACAAGTTGGCTCCTCGGCTAGCACAGCTGAAAGTGTTGCATAAGGTTTTCAGCACAGGTATAGCAGAAGTGCCTCCTGACACCCGAAATGTCGTGAGAGCCTCTCATCTTCTTAATACGCTGTATAAAGCCATTTTGGAGTACGACAATGTAGGAGAGGCATCTGAACAAACGGTAGGTAATTGACCATCAAAGAAGACTGATTAGCTATGTCATGATGGAGTTTAACATGGGAAAACTACTTGGTATCTTGGCAGCACAGGGCAGTGTTATTTAATAGGCAAAAGCAGAGATCTGTTCTGCTGCCTCTTTACATTTTACTGGCCAACACTATGTAGATACCTCATTGCTCTTATTAGCTTGGCTTGGTTTTCCTGCTCCATCCCTTTACTTGATCCAACTCTGCTTTTTCACAAGCTTATATACTGTCCCGCTGCCTGATACTGCCTATCCCAGGTACAGAAACCGCCGGTCAGGGCCACAACATGTTACATAACATGTATAAGCAATTATTCTATGTCGTACAATTCTGTTAGAAATGGGCCTGAAACATACAGGGATATTATGGAAGGTGCACAAGTGAATGGATGTGTAGTGCAGCATTAATGCCAATAGCACTGCCTTTTCCTATACTCAAGAGACTAGACTCTTGCATCTCTGCTCTATACATTTTTATAACATGATAGGCAGGTGAATATAAAATTAGTCTTATGAACGTTTTATATTAACCTCTTGCAGCCATAAGATGGCAGTTGTGAGAATTCAGCATCATATTTTTTTACCTTGCTTGCTATGCTGTGAATAGCCGGTGTAATGAGTATGTTCAATAGCAGGTGTTGAGATTATACCCATCAATCTGAATAACTGAGAGGAACACTCCCCACTTCCTCTCTCCTTTTCAGAGTCAGGACTGTATGCATTTTTAGTCTGATCAAGTTCTGTAATGGACCAGTCCTTGCCTCAATTTGACAACTAGATATTTGGAAGAGCATCGTGTGGTAATGAGCATTTCCAGTAGTCAGAAGCATTCCTTATTGCACATAGAAATGTCCATTTTTTATTTTATGTGTGATGGCACTGATTCTTTGTTCTCTTTCTCTTAGAAAAGGGAAGTATGTACTCCATCATGTGGGTTCTAGCTAATGAGTCTCACTGTAATTTGGGGGTGGGGATTCCAAATAATATGTCCCCACATCCATCTTTCCCCAGGAAAAAAAGGATTTCCTAGTTTGAAGTACAGCAAAAGAAAACACCTTGACAATAAACTACATACAATTTTTTATTTTTAGTTATACCTTTTGTTTATTTACCTTTTAGGTGTCGCTCTTATTTTTTCTGTGGGTTGAAACTGTGAGACCCTATTTAGAAATAGTGGATGAATGGATTGTTCATGGACACCTTTTCGATCCAGCAAAGGAATTCATTATTCAGCGGTAAGTACATGTATATGTGCTGCACATATCTGGGTGCCAGGCTTAGACCTGCCCTTTCGATGAATGATGACCCAATAAACTGAAGACTGGTAGAGGATTGTTCAAGAACCAGCAGTAGAGATGGAGAAAGCACAGAGCCACATAATGAAGTAAAAGGAGGGAGATTCTTATACTGCAGGTCCTAAGGCGCAGCATAAAGACAGGAGTGGGAGGGATATGTCTTAAATGATCTTAGACTGTAGATAGATGGGTGCCTAGGCACAGTTACATGCCAGGATGTACTCAACAATTTCTCAGGAACAATTAAAGCAAAACATTTAGATTTTGGGGGATTACTGGTTGGCCATAAATAACCTTTCAAGATATTCCCTTTAAGATAGCAGATCTTCATGTTTTGAGTTCAGTCCTCTGGCATCTGTGTTGAGGACTCCACATAGCCAAAGGATTGCATATGCCTTGTATCATAAATAAAAATGCTAGAGAGTCAAGCATGTAAAGTCTTGTGGAGAAAGTATCTAGGGAGTAAGAGATGGGATTTTAACTCTTTGTTTTTATGGTGGTTACATATTTGTAATAACTTGTCTTTCATCTTTGTCTTCTGCTTTTATGTAGAAATAAAGATGTTCCAGTGAATCACCGTGATTTTTGGTATGCAACATACACCTTATACAGTGTATCTGAAAAAACAGAGAATGAAGATAAAATGAGTGACAATGCCAGTGCCAGCTCAGGTAGTGACCAGGCCCCAGCCAGCAGGCAGCACACAATGGTTTCTTTCCTAAGACCTGTTCTCAAGCAGATCATCATGGCAGGAAAGTCCATGCAGCTGCTGAAGAATCTGAAGTGTAAATCTTCCCAACAGCAAGACTCAAGAGGTAGGAAGGAGATGATTTAACTCTTTTGTTGCCAGAGCCAATTTTGCACACATGTTAAAAGCTCTGTTTCATGGAAGATTGTCTGTCTGTTTCCCTAATCCTAAGGTTTGTTTTAAAAGTCAAGAATCCGAAAATGATTTTCTTTGACTTAAACCTAATATGCTGTTCTGTTGCATCCCTAATAGAGAAATTAGTGTAATACTAAAATGTTTTGTTCTTAATTTGGTTTGTCACTTTTCTTTTTCGATGATCCAGATGCAGATAGGAAGAGCTTGTACACATTGTTCTTGGAATCTGTGCAATCTCGTCTCCAGCATGGGAAAGACTTGGCACCAGACAGCATTACGGAGCAGCAAGTTAATAAGCAGAGTCTAATAAAAATGCAGTCAATAGTGGCTAAACACTTAGAACTGAATGATGTACACGATCCACTGCTGGCTATCAATTTTGCAAGGTAAGACCAAATAGGATGGTATCTAGTGTATGAGCATTTTCTGTACTCTGCATTTGAAATAGTCAGATTTAAAGGATATGCACACCCTACATTTAATTGGTAGTTAGCTCAATGTCACGCCCATTATGATGTTTGCTCTTATATTAAAGTACCACTGATGAAGTGAGTCACTAAGTAGTGAAGTGAGGCCAGGAGCTAGGATTATCAGGAGGGAGTTGGAAATAACAGGACAAATGCATCCAGTGAAAGTCCTCTATTCCAAACCGAATGTAATCGTATCATCTGTACGATTACTTGCAGACTGCCAATTGCAGATGCGGCCACTGTCTCCCTGTCATTTATTTCAACAAGCACAGTAGCCGCATCTGAAGGAGACACCTGGGATTCCTGCTGCAGGAATTCCAGATAGCCTTGTGTGAATGAAACCTTAATTTTTCCCTTCGTCTTTACAGAGCTTCCAACATGGACTGTGCTTCATTTTTTTCCACTTCAATTATGCCAACTTTCTAACTCGCTATTCTTTATCAGGTCCTTTTTCTATTGTCCGCAGATTTGAAATCGCTCTTGCTAATTAATTGAAACATACACTTGGTCCTCTGTTAATTTTTTTTGTACAATAAGGATATATTTATTATAAACATTACAAATGTGTGAAATCATTTATTGAGAGTGAATTTTTTTTTTTCAAGCCAGGTGATTGGCTGCCAGCCAAAGTCTCTTTCTAAGCCTTATTTAAAATAGAAATAAGGATGGTTTGTGAAACCACTGTAAATTAAATTGGAGCCCTTGTACATATTAACCGGTTAAATTCATATTTCCAGTGCATTTTATTACATGAATGCTAAAATCTGATAAAAATCCTATAGTATAGTTAATTCTGCTGTGCTCGGCATGTGATGTTTCTCTTGAAGGTTATATCTGGAACAGAGTGACTTCCTAGAGACATTTACCTGTGAAGATGTCAGTGTGGATAGGTCCTCAGAATCTGTTACTTGCCAGTCATTTGAACTAACCCTTCGGTCATGCCTCTACCCACACATTGACAAGCAGTATCTGGAGTGCTGTGGAAACCTCATGAAAACCCTAAAAGAAGATTATAAGTAAGTGGTTACATCCAGAATATATTATATAATATATAATGAGAAAATGAAAATGTTAAACTTTCATGAACTTAATAATGTCATTGTCTTTATGGATTGTATAATATAAATTACCTCTAATTACGGTCCTTAAAGGAGAATTATGGGGTGAGTGAAAAACACTCATCCTCATAATTCAAGCCGACCTGTGACACTCAAGCTGTCACACCTCGGCTCTATTGATCGGAAAGTCAGCAAACACACACCGCCGATTGCTGACTTCCTGATCTTCTTCCTGCAGAGAACGGTGACTGACTAGAGGAACGGGCGGGCTAGAGCTGTCAATCAGCCAGCGGGGTGGATTTCGACAGTATTGTCGGGATCTGTCCCGGCTGCGGCGCGGGTCTGTGCTCTCACCTTATACCGGGCAATAGCCCGCTATATACTGAGTTTTGGGTCACTGGAGGATATTAGTATATGTCCTCCTGTGACCCTGAAGAGAACTATGGCCAAAAACGGTTAGACCATAGTTCTCCTTTTAAACTGAGATTGCATCACTGGATTATTACCATATAGTTAAACAGATCTCTGCCTTCAATGATGGCAGGATGTTTGAGGTCATTTTTCCTTTTTATAATTAGATTTGTTTTCTATTTTAGACTGGTAGAATATTTGAAGTCAATGAGAAACTTCTTCCTTCTTGAAGCCGGGGATACAATGTATGACTTTTACACCTCCATATTTGATAAGATCAGAGAGAAGGAACCATGGCAGAATGTTGTTTTTCTGAATGTACAGCTACAGGAAGCAGTGAGTCAGCGGTACCCAGAGGACAGCGCAAGGTATGGAACAAAAATGTGTTGATAGTAGTCTGTGTTTTTGCACACAGCTGGTACTGGACCCAGTGTGCTTTTACAAGAATTGGAAATTCTTATATATGGCTTTTTTTTGTTCACTGTTAGAAAACGTGTCCTCCAGGACTGCCATAAATAAGTTGGCATTTTGTGGTACTATTTTACTCCTGAAGATAAATGTAATTATCAAAAGTGAAATAGTTGTGTGTTAGAATGAATTCAATGAGTTGTGTAACATCTTCAGGAATGTATTTTGGTGAGAATGATAAGAATCTGTAACATGCAGCAATCCCACCCTTGTGAGGGGTTTGCCGTTTAGAGATTTTACATCCACAGTCACTGCAATTGTATTTGGTGGTAATTACTGTATATTGTCGAGCTTGTTTAAGAAATTGGCTATATCTTGTAGGAAACTAGCAATATTGCTGACTAACAGCTTCAGCACATAGCAGTGTGTTACATAGTTGCATAGTATTTGAGGTTGAATAAAGACATAAGTCCATCAAGTCCAACCTATTGTGTGTATGCATTTATGTTTGAGCAGGTGTGTGCGTGTGTATTAGTGAATGTGGGATTTTGCTCTTAGGCATACCTGTACCCCTGTATGTTATGGTCTCCGAGGAACTCGTCCAGCAGTTTCTTCAATGATTCCACGCTCTTAGCCGAGATCACTTCCTGCGGCAGCGAGTTCCAGACCTTAACCGCTCTGACTTTGAAGAACCCCTTGCGCCCTGTGTGTTGAAAATTTTTTTCCACCAATTTTTGGTTGTGCCCTCTGGTCTTTGTTACGGAGCTAACCATAAACAGTTTGTTAGTAATGTTGCTGTCGCCCTTAATAATGTTGCTGTCGCCCTGTTGCTGTGTTCAAGCCTGTTATGATTGGTATGCCTGGATTTCCTGCCTTGTGGATCTCGGGCAGCATTTAGAAGATCCTAATTTCTGGACTATTCAGAATTGTATTAAGTTCTGAAGGTAGGTGAGATGGTAGTGCTTTATTGAGACCTTTTAGTTGTTGAGTAAAATCATGGGGATAGATCATAATCCACTTTCTTTATCGTCCATTGGGGGACAAAGTTGAAAAACTGTGAGATGTAGGGTTATGCTGCTGCCTCCAGGAGAAATGAACACTAGGCAAGAAAATTAAAAGCCTACCACTTTAAGGACATAACCCCTCCGACCTCACACCTGCCACTTTCACTTAGTGTCCTCAGAAGAATGGGTGTCTTTTTTTCTGGTTTATTATTTTTGAGTGTTTTCACTCCCTTTTTTTTTTTTTTTTACTTGGATTGGTTGCTTTTTTGGAGTTTGACTGATTTTATGTACATTTCCTGCCGCTTCAGGAAATTTAAAGAGGCCAGGACTTTGATTTGATGACGCACTTGTTTTTCTCGTGTGTGTGTGTCAGGTGGCCACGCTGACCAACGAGTGCTCGCAATTTGCGAGCGAAATTCAAAATCCATGGCGCAGGGCTGCACTGGATGATATTATGGGGTACAGATGGTACACCCATATCGGTGGAGCGGAAGGACCATTTGCCGAAAGATAAGTATAGCGGGAACTCACACACATAATGCCCTACGCATGCATTTTTACCTTATTTTATCATTATTTACTTTATCACTTTTTTAATTTTTTTACTTTTTTAAATTGTTATTTATCTTTTACTTTTTTATATACCGTATTTTGCGCTCTATAAGGCGCTCCGGTCCATAGGACGCTGGCATTCTGTGACAGGCATTCTGTGATTCTGTGATAGCAGCTGCAGTTCAGTGACCGCTGAGACAGGTGGCGCTGTGATTACAGCGCCACGGTCTCAGTAATCACACGGAGCAGACAAAGTACGACGTTCTTCGTCTGCTCAAGGGGCCCTATGGTGAGCTCCTATGCCGTGGAAAACCAGGGCAGGGCGGACACGATCGCGGCCGCTCGATTTAATACAAGTGATCTAATTAGATCACTTGTATTAAACGAGCAGCGGCTCCCACTGTACATTCAGCTCTGCTTGTCAGGAGCAGGGCTGAATGTACAAAAAAACTACTCGACCGGCGCCCGGAACTGCATGTCCCGGGCGTTGGGCAATAGGCATTCGCTCCATAAGACGCAGGCACATTTCCCCCCTCCTTTTGGGGATAAAAAGTGCGTCTTATGGAGCAAGATATACGGTCATTTTTTTAATGTATTTTTTTTTTTTTTTTCCTTTTTTTAAAAATTTTCGTTTTTTTCCCCCCCACTTATTGGTATCACACAGGAGCTAACAAGCCCCTGTGCTACAGCATTTGGATGTTACAAGCTCTCTTTGTGGAACCTGTCACCTCCAGTACAGGAGTTCAATCTTCTGTGACAGCTGAGACAGGAGCGCTGTGAATACATTATTGCTATGCCTGATGAAGGGACCCTGTGAGGCCCCAAAAGCGCTTGTGTTTTTGACATGAGTTTTCAAAAAACCCACAATTGATTATCCTTGAAGGAACTTGTGTGCTGGTGACATTTCTCATATGGTGTGCAGTTGGCGGCCCCATCCGCAGTCATTCCGAGCACCCTTCCCTGATTACGGGACTTTCCGGTAAGGAGTGCAACAAGCCTTTTCCATCATATTCCTGTCTCACTGTTGACACAAAGCAGACCAGAGAATGTCTGCTCTTATCCCCGCTCTCTATCCTGATGTCATTTGCTGTGGTCCCAGCTCCCCCAGATGAGCGGGGGACCCCAAAAACCACAACGGGGAGGGAGGCAGCCGGCAGGGAGGACGAACCAGGGAGGATCCAGGTGAATGGTCTGTCCATCCAGAGGTGTTTCGACAACTGCTGGGGAATGCTCTATGTGAATCTTCTGACTTCTCATCACAACAAAAAGGTGGACAGATTTCTGTCCAAAGCAAGGGATCCAATGGCAGATGTGGTGGATGCCTTAGTAGCTCTGTGGGATCGGTACACACTAATGTATGTCTTTCCTTTGCTGACGCGATTGCCTCGCCTGCTTCAGAACATGAAGGAATTCCAGCGATTTGATCCTTTGCTTTTTCCAGATTGGCCAGATCAGTTGTATCAGGGTCTAATCTTCCACCCTGCTTCTCGGTCACTGGCTTTAACTGTCTGGCTGCTGAAACCCAAGTGTTGAAAGGAATTTCAGATTTTGTTATTCTGACTAATGCTTAATGCTCGTAGATCTGCTCCTAAGATTTATCACCCTACGTAGAAGGTTTATTTTCATTGGTGTGAGTCCTTGGGGTCTTTCCCACATGCTTTTTCTATATTGACAATTTTGTCTTTCCTTCAACCTGGGGTAAATTAACGTTTAGATCCAAGTACTATAAAGGGTCAGATATCTGCCTCTTGCTTCTAATTCTTTGGTTCGTATTTTGATTCGGAGGTGCTCCAAGTATGTTTCCTAGTTAGGTCTCTTCTTCCTCTATAAGATTTTACATTGGTTTTATCTGTTCTACAGAAACATCCTTTTGAACCTATCCGAGTGTTTTTTTTTAGTTTTTTTTTTTTTAGTCTTTTGTTATTCAAAAAGGTTGCCCTTCTTATGCCTATTACCTCGGCTAGAAGGGTTTCCAACTTGTCTGCTTTTGTTTTGTAGAGAAACCTGTTTGGTTCTTCATAAGGACAAGGTTGTTCTAAGACCGCAGGTTACCTTTTTACCCAAGGTGGTTTCAACCTTTCATTTAAATGAAGTCACTGTTTTACCATCTCTTTGTCCAACTCCTGTTCATCCTAAGGACATTTCTAATCATTATTTGAATGTTGTGAGGGCTGTTAGAGTTTATCTTTAGGCGTTTGAATTCTTCATTTGTTCTACCTGAAGGTCCTAGAAAAGGTTGCTCAGCTTCTAGATCTGTGATTTCTAAGTGGATTTGTCAGCTAGTCATTCAAACTTATACGTTGTGGGATAAGGTTCCTCCTTTTCTTGTTTCTGTTCATTCTATTAGGGCATTTCAGAATCAAGCTTCTGTTATTCAAATGTCAAGCCGCAACTTGGTCTTCGGTTCACACTTTTGCTAAGTTTTTTTGATAAAGTTGATATTTCTGCCTCTTCTGATGTTAGTTTTGATTGAAAAATTCTTCAGGTGGCTGTTTTGAGTATGTGAGCTGGTTCTTCTAGTTGTTATGGTGCCCTTCTGTTTTGGACTGCTTTTAAACATCCCTACATCTCATAATTCTGCAGAGCTGTGTCCCTCAATGGACGATAGAGAAAATAATAAGATTTTGTTCTTACCGTAAAACCCTTTTCTCAGAATCCATTGAGGGACACTGCTCTCTCCACTCACTAACTTTCATACTGCTTACTACAACTGGCAGTTGTAATGGTAGGAGGGGGTTATGTCCTTAAAGTGGTAGGCTTGTAATTTTTTTTGCTTATTGTCCATTTCTCTGGGAGGTAGAAGCATAACCCTACATATCGGAACTGTTCAGAGCTGTGTCCCTCAGTGGACTCGGATAAAAGGATTTTACAGTATATTCTTGTATATGTCTTGTATATATTTGTTTTTATCACGACTACTTTAGTCCTTTCTCTGCTTGTTTAAATATGATGCCCATATTGTTCCACTCTTTCCAGTCTTTCCCTCCAGTGCTGAAAGATTATATGAAAATGTTTCTTTTGGGTGGAAATCAAGGATTTAACTCGCAAGCTGAAGCTGTTAATATGTGTCCAGTGCAGGTTTACGTGCTACTGGAGGTGCAAAGTTACTCCTCTTTTCCTTCTTGTCACATTTCATTACCATAGAATTGCTATTGTTACTGTGGAGTTTTGTATTGAGCCTCAGTCTCCTGATGAAATCCTCCATATCATAGAATAACTATGTATGATCTAGTTTGATGTTTGGGAAGAATGTAAGACCTTTGTAGACATATATAACAACTAATATTTCCGTTCCGAAATTTTCTGAGCTGACAAATAGAAAATCCCCATTTTCTCAGGTCTTTTCCTAACATTTTGCTAAACCTTTGTGTATTAGTACTGTGTGGACCAAGAAGAAGGGGGGTAGACCTCAAAAAAAAGCTTGCCCTGAATATGTAACCGTTAGATACTTTTTTTTAATTGCACTATCAGTACTGGACTGTGCTATTAGGATTACCATGTTTTCGTGGATTCCTTCTTTTAGAAAATGTGAATCTAGGCAATGGTTCCTAAGTTAATCCTCACATGCATTTGTTTTGTTTTTTTCTTGAACCTAGATTATCCATTTTCTTTGAAAATGTTGAATTGGTTAAAAAGAAGCTTCCAGTGAATACATTAGATGGTCTTGTACTGAGTTATAAGGTGAGCATGATTAGTAAGATTGCATCTATGCATTTGTACATAGAATAATGAAGGATACAATTATTTTTATTGAAGCTATATAAAGTTTACTTTTCTTTTATACTTATGTAATTTTGCACCACTCTTGCTCTGTCCTAGGTACCCTGGCCTGTAGATATTGTTATCAGCTCAGAATGTCAGAAGATCTATAATCAGATATTTTTGTTGTTACTGTTAATAAAATGGGCAAAGTACAGCTTGGATGTCTTACACTTTAATGGTAAGCTCTCTTTATTATTTCCTTGCTTTCTTTATTCATAGCAATTACAAATGATAGGATATTCTGTCACTTATGAAAGCTGTGTTTCATGGTAGGCCTCAGTATAACAACTTAATCCCAGCATTGAAGAGATCACATTTACTGGCTGCTGTAGTATCATGCCTAGTTTTATAAATACTGTGCATTGTATAAATAATAGTTTGAGTATAACTGTGTTGGCTCCCTAGACAACGTGCGCACCCTTGGACTGCAAGGGTTAAGATTTGATTTGCAGTAGTGCTGCTTAATTATTTTTATAAGTGCTTGGTTGGGCACTATATTTTGGAGATCGCTGTAAAGAAGCTACACTATTATGAAGCTCTGCATGTAAGCCCTTTTACTGGTTATCTGTTGTATTAAAAAATCTTGAGTTTACTTTCTGAATATTTTCTTGCTAGAACTGGTGAGTGCAGCTGAGAAGGAACCCCCGAAAGAAGACTTGGGCAGTGAGCAGCAAATTCTGTCCCATCTCTTACCAGAAGCCGAGCCAAAACAACAGCAAATTCATCGCATGTTCCTTCTTCGAGTCAAGCTCATGCATTTTGTTAACAGTCTGCACAATTATATGATGACCAGGGTTAGTTGGTTTATGGGATTATAACTTTAAGCTCTATTAATTTTTTCCATAGGTTATATTGATTTGCAGTTACTGGGATTACACTGCCTATCGGATATTAAGAGGGAAAGTATAGTATATTTTGATTTGTTATTGTAGTGTTTACGTTAAAGTTATTTCCCATATGAAACTAAAGCATAACCAAACCCAAGAACATAAAGTCAGCATTGTCACCCTAGGACAGGAAGTTAATGAAGGTGAAAGGAATAAATTTAATCTAATACAGCCACATTTAAAGGAGAACTATGGGGTTAGGGCTTTTCCCCATAGTTCTCCTTAGGGTAACGGGAGGACACAAATTAGCATCCTCCTGTCACCCTAAGCTCAGTATACCGCGAGCTACAGCTCGCGGTATACTGAGACGCCGCAGCTGAAACAGATCCCGACAATTATATCTGGAGCCGCCCAGCTGTGTGAGTGACAGCTGGCTCTGTAGAGCCAGCTGTACCTGCCCCCTCCCCCATCCGTGCCGCCAGTCAGCGCTGGAGGATGGTGGAATTCAGCCCCTCCCCTGTCACGGCTCTCTGCCGTGAAAGGATCGAGAGGTGAGCGAACGCCGGTATGTGTTCGCTCACTTCCCGATCTACTGTGCCGGCCTGTGACAGTTTCATTGACACAGGTCGGCTAGAACTATGAGGTGAGTGAAAATCACTCACCTCATAGTTCTACTTTAAGGGCTGCAGTAGATTACATTTTTGTTCTTGGGTTTAGATATTCAACAGTTGAATAAGATATCAGCCACACAGGTAGTGCATTGTTATTAATTATATTGTAAGAAGGAGCAGTGAAATGCAACCAGTGTGTAACACTGAAACTGGAAGCAGAGCCTGGAGTGTAAAATACAGGATTGTTTGTGGCAAACTGATCTGTTTTACATGTTTATCTAAGGTCTAGATATAGTGCACCTGCCCTGGAAAATAACTATTCCTTCTTTGGTAATATGTCAAGGAAAGATGGAAGCGCTTGAGGCTGTGTCACTAACATGCAGAAATAACACTAAAGTCATCCTGTAAAATAACATGATGATTATTCACCTGCCCGACTGTGACGCCAATCTTTGCCGCTACTGGTATTTGCCTTTTTCAATAATGTCAGATACCTGGTCCCCCACTGCGTGCTGTGGTTCCCCCTGCCAGGTCCTACATTTTATAAAGAGACAGTAGTGACAGAGGGGCCTGTGGGGGGTCACAGAGCTCTACAGAAACCAGGAAGGGCCCAATGTGACAATTCTGCTAATGCTCTGCAAAAGAGCAAAGATTGGAGTCTCTGACAGCCAGACAGGTAAGTATTCCTCTTCCTTTACAGGATGACTTTCGTTTTATGTCTGTGAATCAACGACAGGGTTGCTTTAAATATTAACTTTAAAGAAGAGGAACTATTGTTTTTCCCACAGTGTTAAGCTCAGAAGGTAAGCTCAATTTGTTTGTAGTTTGTTTTATATAAATCCTGGCAGCCACATTCAGCAGGCTGCTCACACTAACTACTAAATGTATCTGAACTTACAAATGGAAGATTTGCTATGTTATGGGAAAATATAGAAAGGGTAATTGTGCCTAAGCATTTACCATTTATCTGAGTTTTCTCCTCCAAAAATAGCAGTGTACTTTCTGGAATGTGAGTGTGCCTAGGCAGCCTTGTATCTGTATATGTGCAGTGTGTGTTCTAAGGCTGGTTGTACACTTATAGATCCTTCTCTATAACAATGATAGAAAACAGATTGCTCCATCCACCCTTCATTGCATGGATGGACAGATCTCTTGCTGCCAGCTATTGTAGTCAGCTGCTACTACTCCAGGAGCTGTAGAATGCCCAGACAATATCTGTATCTGATTGGATACAGGCACTGTTTGGCCAAAAACCCTTCAATTAAATTCGATTGACAAATTGACTTTTGTCAAGTGGAGGGGTGCCAGCAGGGCCCCCCAAGGCTTGAATTTTGGCTGGTATATCGGGAACCTGTCAATTTGCTCAGTGTATGGCACTGCTACACTCAGTCTGAAACTAAGGGCAGTCTCAGGATATTTGCAGTGAAATTTGGTGATGTCACTTCTCTGCTGCTCACTTTTCTCCTTCCTGGAGGTTCTGATTTGGGCAAGCCAAACCCTTCCTCTACCAAGATGGCCGCCTCTATACAGAGAGACCATGCAGGATAAGGCCTGGTAAGTCAGTGATGGGGAAAAGTTCAGTTGCAGAGAGATAACAGGCAATCCTAGTGACTAGTCCTTAGCCCCCTGCTTGCCTTTTACTTGAGCGCTGCTTTAAGAATTCAGGTAATCTTTAACTTCTTGTTGTTTGATTCTATGCTGACATCTCCCCCTCGGGCTCAACTAGACAGGGGCAAGACTGCTGCAGGCACAGAGAAAAAGTGGTACACATTGGCAAATATTGTATTTTGGTAGGCTAAAATTCAGGACTGTTAAGAAGATAAGAATACTGGCAACTTCATAGATTTAGCTAAAATGACAGTTGATTGCAGAAGATGAATGTCCTTGGTAAAATTAGAACCAGACAACAGGCAGACTATGTAGTTATATGAGGGTATTGTCTTATCTCAATTTTGAAATTTAAGGTTTTCACTTTTTAGTTTCAGGTTATTTTCAGAACAAAGCTAATGTGTGAAATAATAATCATTTTTTTTTTTAATCAGATCCTTCACAGTACAGGCCTGGAGTTCCAGCATCAAGTAGAAGAAGCAAAAGATCTTGATCAGCTGATTAAAATTCATTATAGATATCTTTCTACAATTCATGACCGCTGCCTTTTAAGGGAAAAGGTATACGGGCATTTGTTTATTTTTACATCTGTAGTTTAACTTTGGAGCAGTATGAGCTATATATTCACGTGCAAATATGTCACTTTTTGTTGCTTTATACTCTTTTAATTTGACCACGATTGCATACAAATTATTGGGTTATTAAGGGAAGCATAGCGACTGGACTTGAGGTGTAGTGGTCTAAGAGAACATCATCTGCTTTTATGTTCTCCATGTTATGTCACGGGATTCTTTCGGGTGCCGAAGCAAACATAGCAGTTTTGGCATCCTTTTTAAACCCCCACACCTCATAACACAGTTTTTTTTTCTAATTTATTGAGAGACACAAGGAGTCTTAACCCTTTGGGCTATACTGATCTTCGGTCAGTTCATGCTGACTGCCTTCAGTTACTTTGGCCATCTTCAGCCAATCAACCCTCTGTTTACTGACCTGCACCTACTAGCAGCTGTCTGGGTCTTGTAAATACTTGAGGCCTTGTCTCTTACTCTTAGCTTATTTGTTGCATTACTGCACTGTGACCACAACATGTCTGATTCTAGTCATGGGGTAGGGTAAGATTTTCGGCGGGTTAGTGGCGTGCTCGGAAGACAAATGCCAAACGGGCCGATGTGCACAAGCGCACACTGCCTGCTGAGCATTGCAGTCATGGGAAGCCCTCCCCTCAGCGGGGCGGGCTTGCGATGATCGCAAGTATGATCTACCTGTCCAAGATGGGCAGATCGTACAAGCTTTTAATTACCTTACAACCATCGCAGGATGAAAGTCGTGCGATGGTTGTAAAGTGTATGGTCAGCTTTTGAGATGCTCAAGTCCTTGACTGATGAGCTTACCCCTGAACAGTCATAACTGTTTTAACTCATTAATTGCATGAAAATATGATATATACATATATATTATGTTTCACAAACACTGGAGTGAATATTCCTGAAATATTAAAATGTGTTCTTCTTTTCCTAGGTGAGCTCTGTAAAAGAAGCAATATTGAAAGTGATGAATGTTGTTCTGATGTTTGCTGATCGCTGGCATGCTGGTTTAGGCGCTTGGAAGTAAGTGTGTCTACATTTGCTGCCTTAGATTATTAAAAAGGTATTTGAAAGCAGAACTCCAGGTATACGGGTAAATACACTGATGAAACATGAATATGGGCGCTTTTTACCTGCTAAAGGATTTGTGTTTCTGTCCATCTGCTCCCAAGACTTAAAATGGACCTTTCCCCCTCCTTTCACTAAAAATCACATCAGCATGCAGCTCTGCATGCTGATATGAAATAATATTACATTCATTAGTTAAACATATTTTTCATTTACTTACAAATAGGGCTGCAACAACTAATCGACATAATCGATTATAATCGATTATTGAAAAAGTTGTCAACTTTTTCAATAATCGATTAATCGGCTTCTGATCAGTTGGCCTTGTTCACAGCTCCACACGCTGTGCGCCGCACCTCCTCCCCACCTCACGCTCGCCGTTGCCAGACCCGCTCGCATCCACGCACCACACAACGCACCTCCTCCCCGCCTCACATTTCCTGCCCATCCACGATCGGCAAGGCACGCGGGGAGATGTAGTAAGGAGGAACAGGGGTGGGGGGATGACAGCCGCTGATAGATAGGTCCGATCTCAGAAGCAAGTTGCTGGAAGACTGCTCAGGTAAGCCTGCACTTTCCCACACATGGTGCTCTATAATGTATTGCTGGGATTTGTATTTCTCTATAGCTGATGGTACATTGTACTGTACATTATACATAGGAATACAAATCCCAGCAATACATTATACACTGTATGTATAATGTATTGCTGTGATTTGTTCTCCTCTATAGCTGGTGATATTCTGCATTGCGCTGTATAGAGGACTACAAGTCCCAGCAATAATACATTATACAGCGCAATGCGGAATACCACCAGGTATAGAGGACTACAACAAATCCCAGCAATAGTACATTATAAAGTGGTACAATGCTAAATACCACCAGCTAGAGGACTACAAAACCCAGCAATAGTACATTATACAGCGCAATGCAGAATACCGCCATCTATTATGTACTATTGCTTGTATTTGTTGTATTCCTCTATAGCTGGCGGTATTCTGCATTGCGCTGTATAATGTGCTTTTGCTGGGTTTTGTAGTCCTCTATAGCCCATGCAATTCTGCATTCATTGCTGTATAATTTTACACTTTCCATTTCACTATATTGCACACCACACTATCTTTTTTCTTTTTTACTTCCACCGCTCCAGGCTTGCTCCATTTTTTAAACTTTATTTTATTGTTTATCCGATTAACCGATTAATCGAACTTAATAATCGGCTAACTAATCGATTTTGAAAATAATCGTTAGCTGCAGCTCTACTTACAAATAGAGTTCATCCACTTCCATGTCCATTTTGGCACAAATTATGTAACCGTGCCCAAGTATTGCATCCTGGGAAGATTACATTGGCAGAGCAACGCTGGGAAATCTCATCTGTAATCTCACAAGATCTCAGGTTAAGGCATTTTCCTCCTCTTAGTTAACATGGCCACTGTCAGAAGACTGGAGGAGAAAAGAGACGTAAGGTATGCAAAGAATACAAAGTCTGCAATTATTTATAAGTATCTGTTTTGTAGATTGTCATTTACTAAACATTTCTAATGGTGCCATTGTTGTTATTTTAAAGATATGGTAAAGTTCCTCTTTAAGCTGGCCATACTCATACCATACTAGATTTTTTTAATGCTCAGCCTGTTTAAGAAATTGTAACAGATTCCTTCATCTACGCTAAACCAGCTGATTGGTTCTTCCAAGCATGTTTGAAAACTTTGGTCGATCGTACGATTATCGGATTATTGCAAGGTTGGTGGCGTTTCCGTACGTCAAAAATCGTACGATCAACACTGCTCATACGCAAACGAAAATACTTGCGGTTGATTACCGCAATTCGTCCAGGTGATTTTCTTTAATTACGCCTAATCGAACCTTGCGATAATCGGGGCATTATCCGACGGTTCGATCATCGGATGAAAAGTGTCGTCCGATAATCGTAGGGTGTATGGGCACCTTTAGACTGTAGATAACCAATTAATACCAGCGGGGGTCTGATTTTAACTTTTTTTATTGTTTATAGCCTAATTTATTTCAAAGTGCGGTGAGCAAAATAATTATGATGGTTATTTTGTATTCCTTTCATTTGCGAATAATCGCTCCAACAGTTGTTTTCCTTCTTGCCGATAGTCTTGTAGCCCATTCCAGCCTTGTGCAGGTCTACAATCTTGTCCCCAACATCCTTTGACAGCTCTTTGGTCTTGCCCATGGTGGTGAGGTTTGAATGAAAGAAAGAGATTCTGTGGACAGGTGTCTTTTTTTATATACATAATGATTTGTCGTTATTAGCACCTTCTTAAATTGACAGGACTAATCATAGCCAGTCTGTGGGAGCCAGAATTATTGTTGATTGGTAGGGGCTTAAATACTTAAGGTGTCCATACACCTTTCAAAAATCGTACGACGGCCCCATCCTGCCCCGATTATCGCAAGGTTCAATCAGCGGTAGTTAAAAAAACCACCTGGACGACTTGCGGTAATTGACCACAATTATTTTAGTTTGCGCATGCGCAGTGTTAATCGTACGACTTTTGACGGACGGAAACGCCACCAACTATGCGAACATCGTACGATCGACCAAAGTTTTCAAACATGCTTGACCGTCAAAAGTCGTACGATTGTACAGTACTATCGGTCGGGCACGTTACGATTGTCCTACGAAAAGTCGATCGCATACGATTATCGTACGATAATCGTAAGGTGTATGAGCTCCCTTAGTTTACTCGCTGAACTGCAACTCAATTTATAACATTTGTATCGTGTTTTTTCTGGATTTTGTGGTTGATATTCTGTCTCTATCATTTAACATACACCTATGATAAAAATTCTAGACCTTTCAGTTCTTTGGGCAAACTTACAAAATGTGCAGGGGATCAAAAAATTATTATTTTCCACACTGTATATGTATTGTAATGAGGTAGTTATGGTGTTTTTGTATTGTTTGAAATAAAATGTGGAATAGGACAGCAACTGTACAAAGAATCTTGCATAATCCTTTAATTACAGGAAAATGGGTGCATATCCACCAGTGTAACTGTACGATGATTTTTCTAGAAGCAGTTCTGGTCTCTGTTTTGTGTCATACGCCACGTTCTGGCTTAATAAAGAGTAGAAAATACAGATATTTAAATCAAAATGTCAGCTTCATTGTCAATAGCAAGCAGTTACCTTGTAACACTGGACACTGGATTTGCATCCATTTTATTTATTTTTTCACACTAGTATAATTGAAACTATGGTTTATTTTGTCATGCTATTTTTGGTCATACATGTGTACTAGGGAATAGGACCTCTCTAAGGGTATGCCCTCAAAGGGACACTATCACCAAGCTAAATAACTGTGGAAAAACGTGATGGAAGCTTCTGACTGTTGCTGTTACCCCACTGAGTCCTCGTTCACACAGGTGGCAAAGGGGCGGCAAAAACGGACTGTTGATCCATGTTTTTACCTTCCTCTGACCGCCTACGTAAAACTTAAAACAGTGGCAGCTGAGGCTTGTACACATGCCACAGTACTTTGCACAATGGCAAACTTTAAACTATATCTTGTGTTTGGCAGGCAGTGCTGCTTACCAAATGCTGCATTGTGGGCATGCATTTGCGACTTAGTATTTGTAATTCAAAATCCATATTTGGATAGAAAAATTGGAGAAAAAAAAACGGTATTCAGGATGCGGCTGTATCCGCTCCTGAACGTCTGGAAGCTGCTGCCATCTGGAAAGTGACCTAGAGGGACGGTGGAGCCTGCCACACATGTGAATGAGGCCTAATAATGATATAATTTAAGTAATGTTGATTAATAAGCCCAGTACTAGTGAACAGCTTGTGTGTCAAACAGTGATAGCTTCTGACAAAAGCTTCTCAAACAGGTACTTAGATTAATGATGACCTTCAAAGGGAATCGCGTATAAAAAAAAGAAAAAAAAAGTTGTAACACAGTAGTATAGTAATTCAGTCTAGCATTACAAGGCTACCCAAATGTCTAACCCATTGCTGTCATAACCAATGCTCAGATTCGAGTCTGTTGTTCTTTACAAGGGGGCTGTGGTAGGGGTTGCTGAAATGTTTTTAGAGCTAGCAATATTTCTGTGTGAATGTGACCACCGAGGAGTATTTTTGTCCGTGTGCAGTAAAATTCTATTGGAAGATTTCAAGTAGTGAACCCTTTATTTATTACAGGCATTGATATAGTTAATTTTTATATATTAATGAGTTTTGTCAAGTGTAATATATTGCTGCAATATACTGTCTTATAAAAGTTTAGATTTCAGAACTAGAAACATTCATGGTTTATGTGTAAAGAAATGTGCCAGCCACAAAGCATTCATAGTTGTAAAGATCTTCTGTAACAGCTGATGTTTTTTGATCCAGGGCAGAATCTATTGTGAAGATGGAATCTGACTTTACAAACTGCCACAAATTTCTTGTCAAAGTATTAAATAAAGCAGTCTGTAGAGGATCATTTCCACACTGTAAGTATATATTTAATTACCTTATTCATTAGTTCGAACCATAAATGTGATCAGTTGGGTAAAAAAACAAAAAACTTAAACTGCTGTTGCATTTGCAAGCCATCCACAGTGTAAATTGTGGAATAATCTTTTGTCATTTGGAGGGGGCAGGTGTGTTTTTGTATATTTTAGCTGTGTGTGTGTGTGTATATATGTGTGTGTATATATGTGTATGTATATGTGTGTGTATATATAATATATATATATATAATTTACCTGTTTTACTTTTGCAGCATTTTCGAGATTAGTATTTTCAATGTCAACATTTCCCGAAAATAGAAGGAAAAGCAATAGTGGCTCACCTTTAAAATGTTCCTCTCTCCTCCCACTACTCTAATTTCCCACATACAGTTTCTAATAAATCCCAATAGAAATACATTTGTTTTAACTTTTAAAATGTGCATGTGACTGCAAAGCTTCAGAGAGTGTGTCTGTCATAAATATGTCAGTGTCATGTGGTTAGGTTTAAGGAGAATAAGGGTACATTTTAGGGATTAGGGACAGGTAGAAGGATGGTTAAAGTGACACTAAACTTGAGTTAAATCTTAAAAATGCATTTAGGTACCCTAACTATTAACAGAAATGTATCTAATTTGTGTATCTTGTTTTGTCACTTGTTTTGCCTGATGAAGGGGTTCCTGTGTGTCCCCGAAACGTCGCACTAAGTGTGTTATTTTGCTTTTGATGTACGTCAATAAATAGACGTAATCGATTTACTATTGGAGTGCGGTGTGTTTTCTTCATTTGTGTATCTCTCGGCTGTAGATCCTCAAATCATCTCTGAATTGGTGCTGGCTCTGTCCTTCCTTCTGGAGGGTGGCTACTTTTGTTCCCCCTGCTCCCTGTGTGTGTTGTAAAAAGTAGTCACCACTCCAAGCTTGCTCCTATGATAGACTACAAGCTCAGGCCTAGTTTACCATTTGGTATTGAGATTGTAGTCTATCACGAGAGCAAGCTTGGAGTGATGACTACTTTACAACACACACGGGGAACAAAAGTAGCCACCCTCCTGAAGGAAGGACAGTATCAGTATGGATGTAGAGATGATTTGAGGATCTACAGCCAAGTGATGCACAAGCTACATTTTTGTTAATAGGGAACTTGAATGCATTTTTAAGATTTAACTCCTGAGTCTAGTGTTATTTTAAAATTTAAAGCCCAGCTCTGGCCAGGAGGACAGTTTCAGATATATAATTAGTACTGGGGATTAGACAGACCTTCACAGATCCAATCATCTAGGCTGCTTCCAGCCTCCTCATATTAACAGTTTCTTCTCTCTCCCAATTAGTACAGCTCCTGCTGTATTTCCGGGCCACTCGAGAGGCAGGCACTGCAGGTGACCGCAGCACTAAAGTCTATGAAACCTTCAGCGCCTGCCACCCGTGTGTCCCCTGAAGTACAGCAGAAGTGATACAAATTGGGTGAGAGAGGAAACTCGTTTTGTGGATGCTGGAGGCATCCTGGATGATTGATCCTGTGAAGGTCTGTCTAATCATCAGCACTATTAATATATCTGAAACTGTCCTCCTGCTCAGAGTTGGGCTTCTCCAGGTGGGGTTACCCATAGGAACTACATCATCAGTTACAGTTTGTAAAAAAAGGTTTAGGAAATTATCTGAATAGAGAATATCTAAAGTGCAGTTGTGCTCAAAAAGTGAAGATTTGCTGGGGGGAATTTCTTAACGCAATTGTGACTGTTTTCTCCTCTTGGATGACTACTTTTTAAATGCAAATATATTTTAAGCAGCTTCTCTTGAGATGTGCGTCTGTTTTACCCTGAGCGCGCGCTATTTTTTCTGATTGCAAGTGTTTCGCCGCATTTCGCAACTGATTACATCTGCGTTTGTCCTGCGGCTGTCTGAAACCAGCGCATCACCTAACAAAACAATTGGAATTTAAGAAGTCCCGATGACCACTTCTTCAAGATGCGACAGTTAAGCTTCTAGCCTGGAGTTTGCGAGTCTTTTTTCCTGGAGCCTATTTAATTTATGAACAGACATTACACCAGAAGCATAAAATCTGGTGCAAAGAGCGTCAAATATATCCCATGCGACCATATGCGAGTTTAAACAGTTGCAATTGTGTTAATAAATCCCCCCCCCCCCCCCCCCTGCCGCTATGTCTTAGGCACCATCTTGAAATGTACATTTATATATATTTCCTGGAATTCTTTCTTCCTGGTATGCGTGTGTGTCTGTGTGTGTGTGTCTATCGCATCATAGCTGCATGTCTGCAGGGTGAGATTTAAGACACTGCTGATTCTAACTGCTAGCCCCATGAGATTTGGTAATGTCACTACTGTGCTGCTCACTGTTCTTTTTGCTGGAGATTCTGACATGATAGAGAAAAGCCCTGCCTCTACAAAGATGTCCGTCTCCACACAGAGACACAGTGTAGAACATAGCATGATAAGTTAGTAAATGGGAAAGATTAGCTGCAGGAAGACCACTGGCAATACTGGTGACTAGACCTTTGCCCTCTACCTTACTTTTTTAGCACAGATTTGCAGAGTTACAGAACTATGAGGTGAGTGAAAATCACTCATCGTCATATTTAGTGCTGACGGGTGACAATGAAACTGTCGCACGTCGGCTCAATAGATCGGAAAGCAAGCGAGCGCATACTGTCGCTCGTTCACTTCTCGATAATTTCCCTGCAGAGAGCGGTCACCGCTCCCCGCAGGGATTCCCACCCTCCCCGCTCCGATCCTCCAGCGCTGAGTGGAGGAACGGACGGCTGAGGGGGTGGGTACAGCTGGCTCCGCCTCTGGATAAGCAGAGCCAGCTGTCATTCACACAGCTGGGTGGATCTCGATAGCATTGTCGGGAGTCGTCCCGGCTGTAGTTCACGAGATACTGAGCTTTGGGTCACGGGAGGATGCTAGTATGGGTCACGGGAGGACCCTAATTCCCGTGACCCTTAAGAGAACTATGCTGAAAAACACCCCATTGTTCTCTTTTAATTTCCTATTTAAAGCCAAGGTAGCTTGTTGCATAGAGTTTACTTCTCTTCAGCAATCCTAATGGCAGAACATTACTATCTGTAATTGTTTTTGAGTATATCGTCCGTTATTAATAAAAAAACAAAAGGCATGCTTATTGTATTACTGAATTGTTAATAAAATGTTCATTTCTGTAATTTTGCCACAGTGGAGTCTTTGGCTTTATCACTAATGGCTGGTATGGAACAAAGTTAGCACCAGTGCAGACAGAAGACGATGAAGCCGGCTAATTTTGTCAAGAATGATGCGCATTTACATGTATTTAATGTACATAAGAGGATTTTGAACAATGTGTGTACCTTATATCACTGTTCAATAATTTATGTTGATTCTTAATGTTTCCATCTGTAAATAAAGACTTGTTTTCTTATTTAGCCATTTATCTTATTATTTTTAATGCAAAGGTTTGTAACTTGGCTGTTTACATTTTTTTTCTTTTCCTTAAATATTCATGTTTTTTTTCTGTTGGCTAGTAATTCCTAACCTGTCCAGAAAATCGAAACCTAGAACTGGCTGTACATACACACGCGTGTGCACTCTGTTGGCTTGGTGGGTCACTAAATGCTGATCTATGGCTGATCATTCTGACACGCTGTTTGGTATCTCAAAATCACAGAACAGAATCCCAGGCAGCATAGAGAACACATACCACAGATTGATAAGGCCTTACCTATATAAATTTGTTTTTATCTGGAAGAGTAAATGATTACAGTATGTTGTGTTGAAACAAAAATATGCTTTTTGCTGAAAATGCTTATATATCGCTGAGTATTTAAAAAATGCACTTTTGGTATATTCATTTCATTCTCTGGACAGAACCTCCCTTCCATTTCAGAGACACAAAGCATTGATTTCCATAGTCCCGGAATAGGCCCAAAATGCTGAATCATCATTTTGGTGTTTTCCTGTAATTAGTGAGCAGCTATTTTACAACCAGCAAACGCTAAGCACTTGCACATCTGTATATTTTTTTTTTTTTACATTCTTTTTTTATTATGCTTCGGGATAAAAAAAAGTGTTTTTTTTTGTTGTTGTCAGGTAAATATGAAATATTGCATATAAATGTTGTGCAGTATTTCTATCCAGCCAGCAGGTGGCACCGTACAGTTTCCTCATTGTTGTAAAAGATTGTTTAACCCCTTCATGACTGAGGCCCTTTTTTCCATTTTTGCACCCATGATCACACAATCTGACTTCACAATCTCTGTAGATCTACCAACAACTGTGCAGTGCAAGGGCCTGCCTTACTCAGCACAAACTAAATAGTTTAGGTAGGCCCACATATTACAGAGCGTTGGTAAATCTAAAGAAGATTGCATAGGGAGCGTACAGTAAGATTGCATTGAAGCTTTACAGTGGTCAGGGCTCAGGCTAAAATCTACACACACAACTGAAAGGAACCCCAACCCTGCAAGTGAGATGTTCTTTGCAATCTTAAAGTGGAACTTAAAAAAAAACAAAAATTGCGAGCAGGCAGAAAAGTACCTTATTATGAGCAGACATGATATTGTGTAGCTCTTCTGCAACAGAACAAACTTACCTGCCTGTGTGCAATCTTCTTCAGAATGTCTGTCTTTGAAGGTTCTCATTCATCCAGGTCATGGTATATCTGTAAAAAATAAGTAAAGGCAACTGGACTTGCTGTATTTAGAGGTGCGGGAGGGGGAGGGGGGTGAGACATCTATTGTCTGCCACATACAATGCTGTTTTAACACCTATTAACAATGTTAATAACACCTTCTAGCTCCAATTATGCAAATGCATTCAACGCCTGGTTGTGACTAACCGTTTATGTGGATTGGAGCAACATTCACCATATTTATTCCCAGAGAAGAGAATTTTGTACAAGTCATTGTGAATTGAGAAAGCTGGTTGGATGACCAGTGAAACGTCTTCAAGAAAAATACAGCAAGTCCAGTTGCCTTGACTTATTTTTTACAGATACTTATTCAGAATGTACGCTGAGGTGCGCATGCGTGGGAGTTCAGAACATCAAGGCAAGCAAATACCTGGCACCAGGGAGAAGTCAGTGGCAGAGAGGGGAGGTGAATCAAATGTAGTTGCAGTACTTGCTAGATGGCAGTTTCTCTTGTTGCCTGGAATTGCTCTAAAGAAGATGCTTTACCAAGGTGCCATGAGCCTGCTAGGGTGTGAGGACACACGTCTTTTTTCCTGCAGTAACATGTAGTTTAACCAGGTATAGACAACTTTTTCAGTTGTGAACTGCCATGTCTTCCTTTATCCTCCCTGTACTCACTGCATCACCACGTCATGTGACCGCAGCGCGCGACGTCACGGCAGCTAGTGCATAGACACCCGGCGATGCGCATTCAGGATATGGCTCTCACAGAGTCTGGAAGGCTCCACCTAGACAGGTAAGTAAAGGCCGGGCAAGTAAAAGTCCTTTACACCGGTCCCCTAGAGCAATTACCCTTACAGTGCGGGGATAGCCCAACTGCAAGGGAACCATTTCTTTTGCCCTGGAAATAGGCTTTAAAGAGACCCTGTCACCACCCATGGCCACTAAGATAAACATTCAGGCTAAAGGTTGTCACCACATAATTCAGGCTCCCTTTCTTTATCAAATTCTTTGCCCAGGTGTGTTGGAAATAGAAATTATTTTGTTCAATCCCCTTTTTCCTGGTTTGTTGGGTTATGCTTAATAAACATACTCCCACACAGAGCAAGTTCAATGTGTAATGATCTTCAGCTCCGCTTCTGAACACCAGGTCCTGCACTGCCATCTTCCTCTCTGACATCATTGTGAGCTGGCTGTCTTTTCCTGGCTCTTGCAGCCAACCACTCGATGTGCCATGAAGAGCGATCAGGGCTGATTGCAGGAACCAGGAAGAAACAGACAACCCCCTAATGATGTGTTGTGGTGCATGCAGGGCCAGGACGGGGGCATTTTACACTGAGCAGCCCAATCACATGACCCTAATAAGCCCTGCCCTGTGCAATCCGGGGGCAGAGCCAAACACGGAAACACAATTGTAGGGCGGGGCCAGCACTAGTAAATACAGAAGGGCTAAAGCCCACACAATCCTTGCTACCACCAGCATACAAACCTTGCCACACTATGCAAAACCAAAATACAAACCTTGCAACAATATAGGAAGCTTGCTACAAGTCGTGATATCCCCAGCCATCCTCCACACCCCAAGCACGTTGTACAGGTCATTGCTCCCTAAATGGTCAGTGGGGCTCTCAGCTGGCCAGTTTGGACTCATGGGTGGTCAGTGTGGGCTGCCAGGTAGTCAGTGCAGGCTCTCAGGTGGTCATTGTGTAATAGACATCCTACCTTGGATGTGCTTCTTCAATTGCACTCTCCAACTGCTCCCCAGGGTGTCCCTCTTGTCCTCAAGCTCCATTTGGTGCACTGTTGTCTGTCATGGGGCAGAGACAACTCTCTCTCGGCATGTAACGCTCTGCATGGGCACTCAGGAAGACAGGTGGCTGGTCAAATCCTCACTCATGCACACCAGTGGGGTTCTACAGGCACATCATCTGACATTACGAAGCTTGGTCGAGGCTGGAGGGTTGGGAGGCGGCAGAGCACGTGGTGTTGTGCCCCCTAGGTGTGGCGTCCCAGGGGTGCTCAGAAAGTCACTTGGGTGTGGGAACCCACATGACTCACTGGCACTTGGTCACACACCACCTTGCAATTTCTGCACAACGCCTCTTGGACAGGCCTTATGGCTAGTCCGGGGCAATTTTGTAGCACCCGGCCCCTACGGCCTGTCAGCGTGGTGCACTGGCACTATTCCTTTATTTATTGCACCTCGTGCACGATTGGCACATTTTTTGTGTTTTTGTAAATTTTGACCCACAGAGTGCTAGGGTGCAGGTACCTTCGGGGCCTATTCCCGATGCAGGGGAGGATGTTCTGTGCCCTAATATAGGGTTCTCTGCCTCCTCCCGACCCAGGGAATGTGGATTAACCCCTCTCACTCAGGCTGCCACTTCCCTGCTTGGAGCAGGCAGAGCAGATCTACACGGAGCAGGTCACGGAGCAGGTCACAGAGCAGGCTGATCCATAGCATCGGGCATAGCGGGCTGGCCAAGCCAAACACAATCCAGTTGATTGTATTCAGCCCGGCCCTCTGGACAAGTGCCCGGTGTGCCCAATGGCCAGTCCGGCCCTGGGTGTATACACTCTTTCAGTAGTTTCCTGAGATGCGTGGCCTGGGTATCACAGGCGGCGGCAGCATGCTTCAGTCTCTCCTAGGTGAAAAACACAGATATGCAGGCCCTTATAATAAAATAAACAAAAGTATTTACTTTTTTTGCGATTGTTTAAAAGCAGGGAAAGAGGTTGGTATGCTTTAATTCTCTGTGGGTCAGGAGTAGGCAACCTTACACCTCCCGCTATGGTGAAACTACAAGTCCCATGAGGCATTGCAACACTCTGGCTGGCAGCCACAGGCTTGACTTCAAGAGGCAGAAAAATGATGGGATTTGTAGTTTCACCACAGCTGCAGTGCTGAGATTGCCTACTCCTATTAGAATACAGGATTTTTATAGCGCCAACAGTTTGTGCAGTGCTCTCCAAAATGGAGAAACACTACAGATACAATTTCTATACAGGAGAGTCTCCTGCTCATAAGAGCTTACAATCTAGTTGGAAGTGCAGGTGATACATAAGGTAATAAATGTTGTAGGTTATAGAATACAATGGGCAAATGTATCTTTCTATATAGTGTACGAAGCCAGTGTTCTTCAGTTATGATTCATTGATGACTCATGAATGATACTATGTTATACGGGTACACAAACTGCTGACCATACAGGCCCCCTCCCCTTCACCCTTCTGCAGTGACACCTCTGCCAGCGCTGGCACAGTCGCACAGCTGGTGGGTGTGGTGAGCTCGGGATCAGGAGGCGGAGCCTCAGTTGGAGCCGCTCCTGCCTACTCCTCTATGGCCCTGGGAGGAAGGGTGTTTCCTGGTCGTGCCTAGGAAGTTTCGGCCTCAGCTTGTACAGAGTTGAAGGTGGAGTCGGGGGGACCCGGGAGCCCCAGGACCGACACTGACCTATTACGGAGCAGGCAGCAGACCAGTTCTCCATGTGAGCAGTGCAGCAGCTGGCAGGACAAGAATTCACTGATCGCAGGGCCGGAGAACTTCCAAACTCAGGGTGAGAAACTTAAATCAGTGCTCAGGATCAGCTCGAGACTTCCTGTCCACGGCTCCCTCTGTGTCACTGCTCCCACATGCAGAATCCCCCCATCGGGGCTCCCACATGCATGTGCAGTCTCTGTGCTTTTCTATGATGGTCCTCCCACGCTAGATTGTGGAGTATATGTGGGGTGTGGAGCAGACTGAGCGATGACATCCAATGTTATTATAATGGGTGACATGCAGGGAGAGGAGAGCCTGCCTGCTATACTCATAGTGGAGGATCATTCCATCATATGTATGACTGCTCATACTACTCAATAGCTGCAGGCTCATAAGATCAATCTACTCCTCATCATGTCCTTGTCCATCTTATCCCAAACACTGTGTGTACAAAATAATGCTCACATAGTATAAAGTTATGCATTGATGTGTACCGTATGTATAGTCAAAGCCTTCTTGTTATATAGTTTTGGATAGACCTAGGAAAGGGTTAAAACTTCAGTTTATGTTTTGTTGGACACATTTACCTTCACTTCTTGTCTTAGGGCCAGTTCACACCACAAAGTATGCGTTCCAGAGAGTTCGGCCTCTGGCACGCAAGACGGCCGGCTCCCGGCGTTCTGGGGCGGGAGGAGGCGTGGTGATGTGTTAAAATCAATGGCACTGCAGCCATGCCCCCCCGCCCGCAGCGCGATTGCCCAGAACCCAGGCACATTAGTGGTTGCGTTCTGCTCCCGTGCGATCTGCAACAATTGTGCTTGCAGTATTTTTGCAACTTGCAGTGGACCGGAACGCAGGCACTAATATGCCTGCATTCCAGGTGCGGGCGATCGCACTGCGGGCGGGGGGCATGGCTGCAGTGCCATTGATTTTTAACGCCACGCCCCCTCCTGCTCCTGAACGCAGGGAGCTGTCTGACTTGCGTTCCAGAGGCCGAACGCTCTGGAACGCAGACTTTGTGGTGTGAACCAGCCCTTAGAGATGCAGCAGGAAGTGAAAGGAAACGTCTCCAAAGTGAAGGGAATAATCCTTTAGATAGTTTTCAGCACTTCCTGTTGAGCTTTTCCCTTATTCTCCAGTTCTGGTAAAAACTTTAAAGTGATGTTAAAGACAAAAAATTTTTAAGCTATTTCATATACTGATTAAATCCCTTACAATGAATGTTGCACCTTGATGTTAAATGTTTTAGTTTCCTGCAGAGCCAACTGGTCCCCTGAGCACTGACCCTGATATCCTGTTTTAGAGTGGCTCCTTTCCCTTGCAGGGTCATATGGAACCACCCTTGTGTGTGCTGGTAAGCTGTGTGTGTCTCAGGGCCAGTTCACACCATCTCCATGCATTAATCACGCAGTACCACACAGTGCACCTCTTGTGCGATTACAGTGTGGGAGATGCAATGAGTGGCATTCATTTGAATGGCACCCCAAACACACCTCCCACCCGCAGTGTGACTGGCCGTGCCACAACGTGCAGTACTGCAAATACTGTGCATTGCAATCCAAAAAAAAGTGCATGTTATTTTTGGTACCGCGCGTTTCAGCGTGACCGGTCACACTGCAGGCAGGAAGTGCATTTGGGTTGACACGCAATGCACCTCCCACACTGCGCCGTTTTCAAAGCAAAATCGTCTAAACAAAAGCGCGCAAAAACAGCTCAGTCGCCTAGGTGTGAGCCTAGCCTTATAGTACACAGACCAGACAAAACTATAACCCGACAGGGACTTTAACCCCTCCCTATTCTATCTAAGGCCTGGTTCACACCTGGGCGTTTTACAGTGCGTTCCTGCGCGCTGTAAAACGCTCAACATGTGAAAACCAATAATTGCCTATGGGCATGGTTCCCACCTGGGCGTTTTACAGCACATAGGAATGCGCTGCAAAACGCCCTACGCCCGAAGAAGTACAGGAGCTTCTTTGCCATTGGTATTCCCGAGTGTGGATCGGGGTTAACAAAGCGGTAACCTCCGAGCCACACTCGGGAATACAGTGCACAGGTCTTACCTTGTCCGCGATCCCCACGGTGTCTTCGGCGGCTGCCGACTTCCGGGTTCCGTCCCTTGCAAGTGCCCGCGTCGTAGGGGGGCGGAGCCGGCGGGAAGTTTAAAAGTTAAACTATATATATTTTTTAAATTGGGAAAATAAAGGAAAAAAGGATGGAACCGTCAGTGAATGTCCACATTCTCCAAGTGTCTGTTGTGCATATTGTTGTATTATTGTATATGCTGCCTTAACTTTGTCAATGGGTACAATATTATAACTTCTGTAATCCTAAAGTGATAATAAAGGAGAACTATGGGGTAAGTGTTTTCCCCCATAGTTCTCCTAAGGGTCACGGGAGGACATAAACTAGTATCCTCCCGTTACCCTAAGCTCAGTATACCGCGAGCTACAGCTGTCATCACTGCGAGCTACAGACAACTGCAGCCGGGACGGATCCCGACATTACTGTCCAGATCCACCCAGCTGCGTGATTGACAGCTGGCTCTGCCCATCTAGAGGCAGAGCCAGCTGTACCCGCCCCCTCCCCGTCCCTTCCGCCAGCCAACGGCGGAGGATCGGAGAGGGGAATCCCTGCAGGGAGCCGTGAGTGACAGTCACGGCTCTCTGCAGGGACATGATCGAAAAGTGAGCGAAACGACGGTATACGTTCACTCACTTCCCGATCTATTGAGCCGACGTGTGACAGTTTCATTGTCACAGGTCAGCTCCAACTATGACGCTGAGTGAAAATCACTCACCTCGTAGTTCTTTAAAGCTATTTCCAATGATGATAAAATCACTTACAATGGATGCTGCTCCTTGATGTATAAAAATGTTAGATTCCTGCAGAATCAGCTAGTCCACTGAGCACTGGTCCTAGTATTGTGTTTTAGGGCTGCTCCTTTACCTTTGCAGGGTCCTATGGAGCCACCTTTTGTGTGTGCTAGTAAGCGGTGTATGACTCAACAGACACAAAGACACAGCAAGGCAATCCACTCCCTCCTCCCTTCTCCATGCTAGTAGACAGACAGCTCCTGGAGACTGCTTCATTTGATGCTTCAGACTATGGAAACATACTTCCTTTGCTCTATTATGTCTATATATCAGCCCTGCTGTACTTTTCATTAGCTTGACATTTTCAATGTGGCCTTAACTGTCACTTGATAATTGGCAAGTTTTATTACAGTTTTAGTCACCAACCCTCAGGAAAGATGTCCTTGAACTTGAGAGAGTTCAGAGAAGGGCTACTAATTAATGAAGGGGATAGAAGTCCTGAGCTATGAAGATCACCTCCAGAAATTAAACTTGTTATCCTCAGAAAAGAGGAGCTTAAGAGGGGACCTTATTGCTATTTTCAAAGTCATTAATGAGGACCACAATATCCAGAATCGGTTGTTTACACCAAGAACAGTATTGATGACACGGTGGCACAACAAGCGGTTCAATCTCTTTACTGTGAGAGTAGTCAAAATGTGGCACTCCCTTCCACAGTCAGTAGTATCTGCTGATAGCATTTATACATTCAATAAACTTATAGATGAGCTTTCTAGTGCACTAAATATACAAGGATATGGCTGTTATTTTGTTTTACTACTAAATGTGCAGACAAATTAGTATACAAGCCTTCTTCAGACTGGAAACAAACAAGCAACGAAAGCACTTAACCATTAATATGCAAAGCAAATATTAGTTCTAGTGACACATCCACCTTATCTGATAATTTGGACTGTTTCCATGTACTGATCAGTAAAATGATCCTTCCTTTTGAAAAAATGTGAAATATTTGAAGAAGCTCTGATGATGACACAAGTTAGACACCGTGAACCTTTGCTATTTGTTGTGTGTGCGCTTTTGCACACACACCCCCCCCCCCCACGCATATACTGTATACATACCCGGCTACATTATTTTTACTTATATTGAATCCTTTTTGTGCTGAACCATATCATCACCAGTGTGTTTGATTTACAGCTTCCTACTTTTTTCTCCACATAATCCTTCACCTCCTGTAACATTTCAAGAATAAGCCTCCTCTTAAAGCTGACCTTTACCCATATCTTTAAAATAATAACAAGCACACCTTTATAATGACATTCTACAAACGCATACGTCTAGATAATTGTCGGCTTTGTTTTCTTTGCATACCTTATTTCTCTTTTCTTTCCCAGTGGCCATGTTTACTAAGGGCAGGCTACTAGCTCTCCTATTACTTCCTGAAAATTGGTACATGTGACTAGACATGTGACCATGCATATCCTCTCAGGGGAGGAAAATGCCTTCCACTGAGATGAGATTTCCCAGCAATGCTCTGCTGATGACAAGGAAATCCTAGTGTGCATTGCTTTGGCAAACTGAAGTCATTTTGCCCTTTCAAAGCAGGAAGTGAATGCTCTGCAAGTGTAAGTATTTCATAATCACAGCATTTAACACCGGACATGTCTGTTATTATTAATCATCATACATAGAGGGATGCTTCGGTAGAATGTGATTTTTCTTTTTTTTTTTTTAGTGTAAACGTCTGCTTTAACCAACGACAGCACCAAGCTACTGATTCACTACCTTGTTATCTCTCGCCTCGACTATTGCAACTCACTCCCCAGTGGCCTACCTTTACACAGGCTATGCCCCCTTCAGTCTGTCATGAAACCAAAGACATGCAAGTATGCATGACGCACAGTACAAGAGATTGCGTGAGAGTGCAGGGTGCCATGGTGATGCTTCCTCAGGGGCAGGTAGATGACCCTGCGCTCACAAGGATGTCCTTAGTCCCTTGGGTTAAATGATGCTAGACATCTAGGGGTGAAAGGATTAACTGCAAGGAGTTGGGATTTAAACCTACTGTCTAAGCCCTGAAATTATGATTATTTTACAGAAACACTGCTGTGGGATCCTGTGTTGGCCTGGACGTTTGGACCTGCAATCCCAACAGGAGCAGTTTAGGGGACTGATGGTGCAGACACCCTGGGCCAACCAAACAACTGTTCCTGAACTATGATCCCCTTCCTCTTTCAGTAGTGATCATGTGTTAGATGTCTTG